TGAGGCCGGAGGAGAATCCGAAACATGAGGGCGAGGATCCATTGGTGGTGCTTCACATAGGTACCAATGATATAGGTTAGGGTTAGTGGTGATGATTTGAGGAGGGAGTCCAAGGAGCTAAATTAAAACAAAGAACATCAAAGGTGGTGATATCAGGATTGCTGCCTTTGACGTGTGCAAATTGGTACAGGAATAAGCAAATTAGAGAGTTAACCGCATGGCTGAGGGAGTGGTGCGGAACACAGGGGTTTCATTTTATGTGCCACTGGCACCAGTATTGGGGGAAAAGGGGTCCATTTCAAAAAGATGGGCTCCACTTAAGTTGGGCTGGGAACAAATGTCCTCGCAAGCGAATACACAGGGAGGTAAATAAAGCTTTAAACTAGGACAGGGGTGGGGTACAATTAGAAATAATCGCAAGCCAGCAATATTGAGAAAACTAAAGGTGGTAGAACAGAATAGCGAGAGAGATAAACAGAATAGGTCAAAGAGGGGAAAGAAGCTCAGTAAAGAACACGGGGCAGCAGAGAATAGGGGAAATGGTAAGAAATTAAAATTGCGATATCTGAATGCACAAAGCATTCGGAATAAGATAAATGAATTAAAGGAACAAATGGATACAAACTGGTATAATCTAGTAGCCATGACTGAGACATGCTCACAGGGAGATCTATGGTGGGAGTTAAATATTCCGGGGTTTTCAGCTTATAGGAAGGATAGACAATGTGGAAAATGAGGTGGGGAAGTAGTCTTGTTCACAAAGGATGGAATAAAAGGATAGAGGAGGAAGGATTTCAAAATCAGATAACCAGAATGTAGAGACAGTATGGGTCTCTAAGTAACAAGGGGCAGAAAACATCAGTGGGAGTAGTTTATAGACCCCCAAACAGTGATCACAGCATAGCGCAGGGTATTTAATCAGGACATTAGAGGAGTGTGTAGCAAAGGTAATACAGTATTTGTGGGTGATTTCAATCCTCACATAGATTGGGAAAACCAAATCGGCAAAAGTAGGGTAGAGGAGGAGTTTATAGAGTGTATGAGAGAGCTCTCTGGAGCAGTAGCTGAGGAACCAACTCAGGGACAGGCCATCCTTGGCCGTGTTTTGTGTAACGGAACAGGACAAGTCAGTAATACAGATATTAGGGCTCCTCCAGGGCAGAGTGAGCATAACACGATAGAATTTAATATTAAGTTAGACAGCGATGTAGTCAAATCTGAAGCAAGAGTCTTACATTTAAATAAAGCGGACTTTGTAGGTACGAGGGAAGAATTAGCTAAAATAGACTGGGGAATAGATTAATGGATTAATGGACCAACAGTGGCAAAGTTTAAAGATGTAGTGCAAAATTCTCAGCGGTCACATATTCCCTTAAGGAATAAGAGTACCACAGGGAAAGCAGTTAATCCGTGGCTAACCAGAAGCAGTTAGAGAAAGTATAAAACTAAAAAGAAAAGGCCTATAAAACTGCCAAAAAGAGTAACAAACCTGAGGACTGGGAGTGTCTTAGGGACCAACAAAGGAAAACCAAGAAGCTCATTAAGAGTGAGAAAATGGATTACGAGGGCAAACTGCTCGGAACATTAAGGCAGATCGTGAGAGTTTTTATAAATACATCCAGAGGAATAGGCGAGCAAAAGTAAATGTGGGTCCATTACAGGCAGAGACAGGAGGAATCATAATCATATATCATAGAATCATAGAACCATAGAATGTTACGGCACAGAAGGAGGCATTCGGCCCATCGAGTCTGTGCGGCTCTTTGACAGAGCGTCACTCTCACTGACCCCAATCACCAGCTTTCTCCCAATAACCCCACAAACCCGTCTTCCCCGATACCTGTCCAGTTCTCTCTTAAAAGCTGTTATCGAATCGGACTTCACTGCCCTTTCGGGCGGATCATTCCAAATTCTAACAACTCGCTGAGTGAAAACTTTTCTTCTAACCTCCCCTCTGCTTCTTTTGGTGATATCTTCAGACTGTGACCGCGGGTCACACACAGACACACCGACCAACGGAAACAGCTTTCCTTATCTTGCCTGTCGAAACCTTTCATGATCTTGAAGACCTCTATCAGGTCCCCGCGTAACCTTCTCTGCTCTAATGGGAAAAGTCCTAACTTCTCCACTGTCCTCATAGCTAAGGTTCCCCATTCCTGGTATCATTCTCGTGAATCTCCTCTGCACCCTTTCCAGTGCCTTAATGTCCTTCCTGAGGTAAGGTGTCCAGAACTGGACGCAGTACTCCAGCTGAGGCCTAACCAGTGTTCTGTACAGATTAACCATAACCCCTACTCTTATACTCTATGCCCTACTAATGAAGCTCAGGACACCAAATGCCCTTTTTACTGCCCTATCTACCTGCCCCACTACCTTTAATGATTCGCTTACTTGAACACCCAGATCTCTCTGTACGTTCACCCCCTTAAGATTGAGCTCCAAGTCTATATTGCCTCCTATCATTTTTCCTCCCTAAGTGTATCACCTCACACTTATCCACATTGAAATCCATCTGCCACATGTCAGCCCATTCCACCATTCTGTGTATGTCTGCCTGCAGTTGGTTACAGTCCTCCTCACTATTTACTACCCTACCTAACTTGGTATCATCTGCAAACTTGGAAATAGTGCTCCTGTGCCCAAGTCCAGATCATTAATATATATTAGAAAGAGCAGTGGTCCCAATACCGATCCCTGGGGGACACCGCTGCACACCTCCTTCCATTGCGAGAAACACCCATTAACCACCACCCTCAGCTTTCTGTCACTCAGTCAGTTCCTAATCCAAACTGCCACTGTCCCTTAATACTGTGAGCCTATAATTTTTTTATTAACCCCTTTATGCCGTATTGTGTCAAAAGCCTTTTTAAAATCCATGTAAATAATGTCCACCGCATTTCCCTCATCAACCCTCGCAGTCACCTCTTCAAAAAATTCTATTAGATTTGTTCGGCAAGATTTGCCTTTAACAAATCCATGTTGGGTCTCTAATTACCTCGTGTTCCTCTAAGTAGAGATTTATTCTGTCCCGGATTACGGTCTCCAGTAGCTTTCCTATTACCGAGGTTAGGCTGACTGGCCTGTAATTTCCGGGCTTGTCTTTCTGCCCCTTTTTGTAGAGTGGGGTAACATTAGCCACTCTCCAGTCTCTCGGCACCACTCCTGTGTCCAATGAAGATTGAAATATAATGGCCAAAGCCTCCGCTATTTGAACCCGTATCTCCCACAGCAACCTTGGGTGAAACCCATCTGGTCCTGGTGACTTATCAATTTTGAGCCCAGTCAATCTTTTCAGAACTTCCTCTCTGTCTATAGTAATCTGATCTATGTCCTCTACCCTCTCATCCAATACTGCGGCATTTGGGGCATCCGTTTCCGTTGTGAAGACAGATGCAAAGTACTCGTTCAGTGCATCAGCCATGCCCTCTGCCTCCACAACAAGATGGCCGTCATTGCCTTTGATTGGCCCCACCCTACCTTTAACTAACCTTTTTTCCTTTATGTGCTTGTAAAATATTTTAGGATTCCCCTTTATGTTACCCGCTAACCTCTTCTCATGCGATCTTTTAGCCTGTCTTATCGCTCTTTTAAGATCACTCCTGCATTCTCTATAATGCGCTTTGCTATCCTCAGTGTCTTGCGTCTTCCAATTGTCGTACGCCGTCTTCTTCTTTTTCATCCGAGACAGAATATCCCTGGCCATCCAGGCTGGCTTGGTTGTCGCACATTTCCCTTTTGTGGGAATATATCTATTGAGACCTGAGCTATCGTATCTTTGAAGATCTCCCACTGCTCATGAGTCGTGTTACCTGCTAGTCTTACAGGCCAGTCCCCCAACTCCAGGTCCCTCTTTAGCCCATCAAAATTAGCCCTTTTCCAGTCAAGCATTTTCACTCTTGACTGTACTTTGTCCCTGTTCATGAGTAATCTAAATCTAATAATATTATGGTCACTGTTACCTCGATGCTCCCCTACTGAAACCTGTTCAACCTGACCTATTTTATTCCCCAGGACTAGATCCAGCAATGCTTCCTTCCTCGTAGGACTGGAGACATACTGCTCAAGAAAATTTTCCTGTGCCCCCTCGCCACTTTAAATTAGCCCCCCCAGCATTCGATAATCCCTTGGCCAGGAAGCTAACCCCTGCCTTGCCTAGGTGACGCCCATCCACAAGGTAATGATCCCACCTCCCCCAGTAGTGGTCCCAATTGTCCAGAAAATGGAAACCTTCTTTTCTGGACCATTTTTCCAGCCAGTCTTTCATACGCCTGATCCTTTCATTATGGTGCGCCATTGCCTGAGGCACAGGGAGTAACCCAGAGATCACCACCTTGGATGTTCTTGCCTTGAGTTTGTTCCCCAAATTTTGATACTCGCCCTGGAGTTTCTCAGCCCTCTTCTTTCCAATATCTTCTTTCCAATAATGGAGGATAAGGATATGGCAGAGTCCCTAAATAAATACTTTGCTTCTGTCTTCACGTTAGGAGACACAAGAAGTTTACCAGAAATAGAGATGAACCAAAGGGCTAATGATAGGGGCAACTCAGGGAAATTTACATTAGCAAAGAAATGGTGTGAGGGAAATTGTTGGCACTACAAAGTGACAAGTCCCCTGGACCTGATGGTCTGCATCCTAATGTTTTAAACGAGGTAACTCATGAGATGATGGAGGCCTTGTGTCTGATCTTCCAAAATTCTTTGGATTCTGGAACGGTTCCCATTGATTGGAAGATGGAATGATAGTAGAATTGACACAATACTGATGTCAGGATAAACTGGTGAGGGCCTTTCTCACTGGAGAAAACATGTTTAAGACAAAACTTAATAATGGTGTTTAAACTTATAAAAGGTTTGATAAAGCAGCTTAGATAGGCTGCTCCCGCTTGTTGGGGAGTCTGTAACAATAGGACACGGTACAGTGGAAGCCGCTTAAGCCGAACACATCAGGGATACCTGTTTTGTGAATTTAAGAGGTCCAAGGTTGGCCCAAGTTCTCTTACCTCTTCCTGCCCAGCAGAGGACAGATTTTAGCACCTTCTCCCTCGGATTTCTGTTCCCAATGGACTGGAAGGGACATCTTAGCAGCGGCTCCTCACTGATTGACAGCCTGAATCCACTTGTGAATGGCTGGAGTCCACTGTCAATCAATCTTAATTTGACCCATCGCCATCCTGCAACTGCTCGTGGCTGAATGGAGCTGCTCGGCACACAGGGGGCAAGTGATTACATTCAGCAGGAACCAGGGTGGCATTTTGTCCGGATTAACCACATTTTTTACAAATTTTGTCCAGTGGCCAGGGGATCTGAAAGAGAATTTAGGAGGAAGTATTTGATGCAGAGGGTAGTGAAATTGTGGAACTTGCTGCCTGCAGTAGGCGTGTGGAGTAAGGAAACTTGCCCAAGGTTTCACGCTGCCTGGAATTGAGCCCAGGTGTCTCGCTTGCAAGGCCAGTGCTCTAACGCTGAGCTACAGGACTCAGCTCACAGGCCTCAGCCCACAGTCCTCCCCCACACTATTGCCTTCACACCACAGCCCCGCCCCATACTATATCCCCCACACCACAATCACTCGCTACACAACAGCCCTCACCCTACTTCCTGTCCACTCCCTCAGCTCAGCTCCCATGTTCCCTGCACTGCAGAGACCTTCCTGTTTGACTGGTGTCTTTGGTTATCTCCGCACCTCACCCCCGCCTTGCCCTCCACCACTCTTGATTCCAAACCCCAGCGAGGGTGCAAACACTTGTCTATCTAACAGCTTGGACTGTCCTCCTGACATGAAAGGCATATATATTGTTGTTCCCCACTCCCACTTCTTAAGTGTCGTTCATAATACCAAGTATATCACTCAACAGAGTCGGTTGCTGTCAACAGTCACAAGATCCTTGCAACACAACATCAAACTACATATTAAATGAGTGCAATTCTGGCCTCAACCACACTTCCTGTTCACGTCTATGTGTGAAAAATTGTAAATTCTGTAGATAAAACAGCCGGCTCAGGTAATAGCTCTCTTGCTCTCTGAGTCTGATCTTCAGCATATTTACATGGTTTCAATGTGGTCAAGTGGAGAGCAGAGGCTGAGCTCAGATGTGTGACAAACTCTCAGCTGTCTAAGCTGAATTTTATGAGTAACATCTTTGTACAGCTGAACATTTATCCTTGTCTTGCGAAGAAGGTACTTCAGCCTGTCTAATCTCATCCTTCCAGAACATTCACCTTACCATTTGGCTTTCAAAAAGGAACTAGACATATATGTTAAAAGAAGTTAGCTAACGGGGTGTGGAGAAAGAGTAGATAAATAGGAGTGAAAGGATTGTTTATAACGGAGGCTGCAAATACACAATGGGCTGTTAATTTCTGTGCTGTTAATTTCATACATACACACATACATACATACACACACACATACGCTCAAACACGCATTCAGACATAATCCCACACACGCTAACCCATTGAGCCGGGCTGACAAACACACAGACACACACACACACAGATGCACACACACAGACACACACACACACAGATGCACACACACACACACACAGACGCACACACTCACAGACATGCACACACACAGAGGCACACACACACACACACAGTCGCGTACACACAGTCACACACTCATACACACACAGACGCAAACAAACAGATGCACACACATGGCCATCTCTATATAGTCTGATTTAACAATGAGAACCTCTATGTAGACAAAACGCAGTCACTACACTTTTCAGTGTATCCTGTGATCGAGCGAGACAGAAGAGTGAGAATAATAATAATAATAATAATCCTTGCATTTGATATAGCGCTTTTCACGTCGGGAGGACGTCCCAAAGCACTTCACAGAACACACTGTAAAGTGAATTGACTGTATATTTGTGGGCGAACGCGGCAGCCAATGGCGCACAGCAATGTCCCACAAACAGTCGTAGATTGAAAATGACCGATTTATTATTGTTTTTGGTTTTGGAGGGATTATTATTAGGCTCTGTGTGGAGTAAGGAAACTTGCCCAAGGTTTGGCCCTGACCCCCCGGGGATTGAACTCAGGTCTCTCACTTGCAAAGCGAGTGCTCTAACCACTGAGCTGCAGGACTCCACAAATGGCACAAACACAGACACACATAGACACTAACACACAACGACACACACATACATTCACAGTTTAACACACACAAATACACAAACACAAAAACAAACACACACTGAGCTGGGCTGACAGACACACACACACACACACACACAAACACGCATTCAGACATAAATCCACACACACAAACCCATTGAGCCGGGCTGACAAACATACAGACACACAAACACATAGACACGCGCACACACACACACACACAAATGAACACGCATTCTGGGTCCTGGGTTAGAGCACTCGCTTTGCAAGTGAGAGACCTGAGTTCAATTCCCGGCAGAGGGCCAAACCTCGGGCAAGTTTCCTTACTCCACACAGAGCCTAATAATAACACTCCAAAACCAAAAACAATAATAAATTGGTCATTTTCAATCCACGACTGTTTGTGGGACATTGCTGTGCGCAATTGGCTGCCGCGTTCGCCCACAAATATACAGTCAATCCACTTTACAGTACATTCTGTGAAGTGCTTTGAGACATCGAGAAGACATGAAAAGCGCTATATCAAATGCAAGGATTATATTATTATAATTCTAAAGTACCATAATCCCAGCGCCTTGGGACGTCCTCCCGACATGAAAGACACTTTACAAATGTAATTTTACATTTTTGTATTGCGTATGGTCGCCAGACTACGGCACTACCTCACCCCTCACGCGGCTGAAACTCTGGTCCACGTCTTTACCACCTCAAGGCTGGACTATGGGAACTCTCTCCCCGTCGGCCTTCCCGGCCCTCCCTCCACACTGCAGGTCATTCAGAACTCTGCAGCTCGTGTACTGTCCCGCACCAGACACCGCACCCACATCACCTTCGCCCTCGCCCTCACCCTCGCCCTCACCCTCGCCCTCACCCTCGCCCTCACCCTCGCCCTCACCCTCGCCCTCACTCGCCTCCACTGGCTCTCCATCCCCCAGAGGATCGAATTCAAGATCCTATTCCTCACCTACAAGGCCATTCACGGCCTCGCTCCCTCCTACCTCTCCGAACTACTATCCCCCTACCTACCTGCTCTTACCCTCCGTTCCTCTGGCTCCGGTCTGCTCCACATCCCCCGCCCCAACCACCCTACCATCGGTGGTCGGGCCTTCAGCCTCTCAGCCCCGAGGCTCTGGAACTCTATCCTCCAGTGCCTTCGCCGCTTCCTCCCTTTCCTCCTTCAAGGCCGGTCTCAAGACCTTTCTCTTTGACTGTGCCTTCAGCTCCCCTCTCGACTCTCTACCCCTCCTCGCTCCCTCCCTTCCCTCCCCTCACCCTTTCCCCCCAATGCTTGGGTCCTGACCCAACTGTACAGCGCCTTGGGACGTCCTCCCGACGTGAAAGGCGCTCTATAAATGGAATCTTGTTGTTGTTGTTGTTATGGGGAAGGGCCCTTTCCATTTTGTGGTAAACGGCTTTTGCTTCTTCCCATAGTCTAATACCATAACCAGGTCCCAATTGGGTATTCGAATGATCGCACCTGTCGGTCGAAATATTCTTCATCTGATTTTTAGATCGTCCAGTCTGTTCGGCCAAAAACATATTCGTCAACCAAATGTTTTCCTCCATTTGTGCATTCCTATTTTCTCCCATTGCCCCATGGATCAATGGCGAGCCATCGGGTACCAATAGATGCCCGGTAGTCACATCAGTCGGCCAGTTATGGCCTGATAGGATGATAGACCTGTAGTAGAGTGTGGAGAGGCTCGTATCACCATCAGACACATGGGTAACATCTGTGCCCATTTTGTGTGGTGATCTACACAATGTTTTAAAGCAGCATTTTTAGTGTTCGATGTTCCGCTCTACAACCCCTGACGATTGTGGATGGTGAGAGATGTGTAATTTCTGAGCAATCTCATTTCCTGTAACGCCATAAAAATTCACCCTGTGAAATGTGGCCCCTGGTCATTATCAACCTGTACTGGGATTCCCCACCTGCAGATCACCGGTAGATTATAGAAGTTGTAGTCTAATAATAATGAACATTAAACAAATGTAGAATGGAGAAAGTACTGACGGTCATGGGATAGGACACATCTGGTTTGCTCTGTTTCTGAAGGAGTAACAAGGCAGCTGTGGAAAAGGGCAGAGGATTACCACTTATCAGTAAATAACAACAAGCCCACAGAGGTAACGGTCCAAGGTACCGGTCGACACAGGATCTCAGCTCAGCAATAAGTCGTTAGATTCTGACAGGCCCCGCATATACCATAGCAACAAATGAGCAAGTTGGTCAAACTGGAGGACTTTGGTACCATCCCAGGGTACTGATAAGAGATAACCATTCACTTAAAATGAATGCACTAATGATCCAACACAACAAAGTAACGAGCACCAGATACAGCCCTAAACCGGCTTGTAAAATACACAGTGATTGGATATGGAAACACGGGATGTAATGGCAAGTCAGGCGACTGACTATAAGTAGCCGAAAAAGAGAAGTGGAAAGCAGTCCGGAACGACGCCAACAGACGGTGATGGAAGATCGAAAGCGTGAATAACTGAAGCAACTAAGAAAGAACCCTGTTCCGGACTCGCAGCACTCGGTCTAGCGGCGTTGACGATTGACTGCTGAAATAAGTGCGTTTTAATGGTATTTTTGTTTGAATAAACTTGGCTTAACAGATCTTACCTAAACGGGGTGGTCCGGTTGTTGTTGATGGTTGTTGTTGATGTTGGAATGTGACATTGACATTACTCCTAAAGACACGACTCTGCTTCCCAATTTGCTGGGGTACCAAGGAGATCCCCATTCGTGTCCAATGCGCCTCCTACAGTTTTCGGACCACCCCGTCTCGAAGTCGTCAGTGGAAGGGGGTCAGGACGTATATATTGATGGGTCATCATACCACATCTTCGGGACCCCCCACACCAGGTTTGCCATAATATTCCCCTCCAAACATTACACCTACCGTGGCCACACCCATTCTGCACAGATTTGTAGAGCTGGCTGCCTACTAACAGCACGAACGTCGTCAACATGGTCACCCTTCTGCCCACGTACACATCACGCCAGTTTTGTACACCTGAAGGTAAACCTCTGGCGCATCAGACGCTGCTATGTCCCTTGTCGCAGACCCTGCAGTGACGTATCACCCCTTTTCATCTTGGGAAAGTGGTCCACTCCCACATGTTCAGGGAGGATATAAGTCCTGCCTAGTGGTGATTGATAAGTTCACTCAA